AAAATCAAGTAACAGTATGCAATGAATATAATATATTAAACAAATAGGTAGCATAACTATTCTAATATAATAAACGTCCTCGTTGATTAAAAGTTAGGTGTGCATAATAATATGCAAAAAAATATATTAAACTCGACTTGGAATATCCCATATCTAATAATAATTATTATTAAATAATAACTTCGGTGACGACGGTCTTCTAGCGTCTAGCCTTACATTTTTAATCGAAACTCGATTGTGACGGTAACACTGAAATTCCCTTAGTTTAATTTTGTATTTATTTTTATTAGTACTATTAATTTTTTTTTTAAATTGTCATAATTTTTATTGTACATTTTTACGTAATTACGTAAACTGAAAAAATACTAAAGGGGAGGGGGGGGGGTTGAGTCTTCTTCTTTTTTTTTTTTTAATTTTTGAGTTTGTTTGGTTGAGATATACCATTAAGTTCTACACAAGTCAGGGCAATTAACTGCAATCACCGAGTTTCCGTACACCCGTTACAGGCGAGAAATTAAAACTGACGGACATTTTCATTACATTTTTCGCTGACCGGTATTCTGACGGAGCTTACAGTCGCCCTTTCGGTATAATACAGTGTAACCTTGTAGGATTCAGTGTTGGACGCTTCAAGGTGCCCAATGAAGGGGTTTTAAATAGGCAATTCTGATGTGATTTAGTAGAAAAATAATTAAAATGTCTGATCTCGAAATGTATACTTATCTATTAAATACAGATAGTTCAAAGTGTTTTAAAATTGGTGGTCCCGTGTCCAGTGTCCACTAACAATGGAGCATGATAATATGAGATTTTATTTAAAAACGGTTGCTATATGCGTGGCTCAAACTTAAGAGTCAGTACATAATTTACGGTAAATTTACCGAATTCGCATTAAGAAAACTCTGTCTGTGTGGTGCCATTTATTTTCTTCGTGCATCAATACCAACTCAATAATTATTAATTATTACAAATGGTTTGGAAAGTCTTAGTTATCAAATGCAAAACGACACGATGATGTTTCATAAATTTATTTTATACGTATTGTACAACATATTATTATATTGTAAGGCTGTGCAGTCTCGGTAAGTTTGTCCGTTTGTTCGATAGGTTTTCACGATGAAATTATATTTTGTGTGGCTCAAAAAGCATGAAAATTAATACGAGACTCTTGATATACGTATTGTTACAATATCAGTTGAAAAATATTATACGATTTTTTTGTTTTTGTAAGCATTTAAAGTTCAAATTTCGACAACATTTATCAAATTGAAAATTGAAAAATTATTCTGCAGTTAAAATGTATATACAGTTTTCAAATTGTACGGCTAAAAATTAAAAATTTAAAAGAGGATTCCGCTTAAGCAGTTTTCCGTAATAAATTAAAAAATCTAAAATATATATAATTACGGTTATTTTTTACCAGACATTTTAAGTTCAATATTTGGATAAAACTGCATATTAACACGAAGAATTACGTTTATCATTATTTTGCTTGTAATTCGGTTCGAAACAGCCCAATATCACATAGGTATGTTTAATATTTTTCCTGCGTCACTGATGATTTAAGAATAATATTAATTCAATTGAACAAGTCAACTTACCGGCTACCATATATCAATGTAATAACTGATAAGCAATAACAACATAAAATATTCTCGACAGTTGTAGACATATCGTCTCCGCTCAGAATTTTTTTCGTATACAATGATATGATGTCATCACAGCGACTTCCTAGACACCTATTGTACAGTAGACAGACATCCACTTACCCTCTTTTTCAAAAATTTTTACGTTTCTGTAAAGTTTTGGATAAACGTATTAACTATCTACCTACGCACAGTTCTCTAAAACAGTGTTTCCCAACCGGTGGTCCGTTATAGTCAGTCATAGGTGGTTATAGTGGTACCATGGATTTTTTCTTCGACTCCTATTACAAATTATTAACTTTTTTTTGGATTTTGCGATGAATGTGTTGGTTTTACAATGATGTCTGTTTTTATATTTATTTTTTTTTAATTTTTTTTTTTTTTTTGTGTGTCATTACGGTTTCTTGCAGTAAAAGTGCTTCGATTTTCTTCAATAGCAGCTTTTCTGGATGGAAAGTCAATCTAGTTGGTACGTTCGGGAGGTCAAAATTTAAAATTCCCATTAATTTTAAAACGCAACAGGAAAAACAAACAAAACATTAAGAAAAAACGGGAATTTTTACGCAAAACTATTTTTCGAAAAAATTTTGGTTTTTAGTGTAACTCTAACAAAAATGACTGTAGATACATGATATTTTCACTGAATATTTGTGTAAGCATTTTCTATACACCACAAAATACTTTGATTTGTGTTGAACTATTTATAGGCAAATTAAATTTTCGATTATTGTTTGTTGTTATTAAACCCAAGTCAATGAAAAAATTTTCACTCCGTCAAAAAACTTAGAAATGTAATACAACTCCCCTAGTGAGCTTTTTTTAATGGAAATTAAAAAAAAAAAGTCCAGTCGAAATCCACAATATTTTTTTATGAACGTTTAAACTCATAAATACGTATATACGTATAAAGTCGTAAAAATCATGAAAATTAGCAAATTATATTTAGTTAGAAACTAACATATAAAAATGTTTCTATTTATATCTAAGATTTAACAATTTAATACAAGATTCCTTAAAGTTCATATTCCTTTATCAAAACAAAAATTTCTACCGGAAAGTCAAATTAAATTTTTATGAGCGTTTGAAGTTGAAATGTCACAACATTAGATATTCACTCGGTTTCTCTTGTATGCGGATTTTCTTATTTTGTTGTAATTCAAAAACGAATTACTGTAGACCCTTGAAATTTACACCAAATTTTTATTTCATCAATTCAACTACTTGATAAAATTTTCAAAATATTCTGACTCGTTTTAGGACGTTAACGGACATTTCCATTTAATTTTTTTTAAATTTTTTTTCTATAAATGTCAATTAAATTTTATTGAAAAATATTAAAAATACATAGGCATGATTCTTTTTTATAAGCATTTAAAGTTCAAATGTTGACAATATTTATCAAGTTAAAAATTGAAAATGATTTTGTAGTTAAAAATGTATAACATGTTCAATATTTATAGCTAAGGAATGAAAATGTAAAACAAAGTTGACTTACATCCACTTACCCGCTTTTTTAAAAACTAATTCTTAAGATAACTCTTGTTAGTGAGCAAAAAAAAAAGGGTCTAGCTAGTTTTCGTATAATAGGTCCACGACCTATAAAATATTGACGAAGAGGTCCGTGGTGGTAAAAGGGTTGGGAAACACTGCTCTAAAAGATATTAATTATCTTTATAGAAAAAAGGCGTTGGTTAAACCTGTTGCTTCGGTAATTTGCAAACGAAATGACTATGATTTTATTTTTTTTCCAACGTATTTTTTTCGAAAACGAAGCCTATTCGAGAAAAAATGAAAATAAAATAGGTAATCGAGTTATGATTTCTTAATAATTGTGTGCTTAGCCAAAAAAAAAACCCAATACTCTTGGAATCGAGGCCTTCACCAACAAATTCTTTGCATCAAAAAATCAATAACTAAAGGTCCTAAATTTTTACCTTAAACCAGATTTCGCGTAAATTTTTTTATAGACACTCAAATATTTGTCCTCAATCCTTTCTCCCTACTATTTGATCTCCACTGAAACAACACTAAAGGCATATTTTTCAATGTCAGCTATGTACTGAAAATTGTGTAAAATTGATCTTTTAATATACATATATATATGTTACAGTTAAAGTGTTGAATCAGTTAGTTTATGAAATGACTAGGTAATTTATACAATAACTAAAGCTTGTAAGTAATGTATATAATTTATACTTTAACTAGTTATTTTTTACATTCCCTGGCAGCACTTCGTTAATGTGTCAAATCTTAAATAACAAAATATCATGATAAATAAATATAGCTCTAATAGTTTCAACAATTCAATAGAACATATTAAATCAGATGAGATTGACGTTCCTTTTATTTATTTGATACCTACCTACCTACACGTCATTACGATTACAGGAGTTTTATTACAACTATACTCTCGATCCCAGTTCACAGGATGTTCAAAAAATTTGTTAACTGTAGAAGATGTTCCAAATAAAAGTATTACGTTAAGATCTGCGGCAACTGAGCAGTCACTGGGAACTGGTCAGGGTTTTTTTAAGCGCACTTGTACCAAAAAATGTGGCACAAAGCGATGTGTTTGTAGAAAAAAAAGTGGTATTGCGCAACTCTAAATGCCACAATAGCCTTACAGGAACAAATAAATAAATAATATAACTATAATTGATTCGGTAAAATAAAATATTTTAATATATATTTTAAATTTGAATGTATTTTATATCAAACTGAAACTGTATGGAATAACTAGATATCCAGTTGAAGTACGATTTTTATGTATTATTTCATAATTTAACTACTAACACTCGTAGGTAATTCACGAACTACCTAGTTGTTTCATAAAATAACGGAATTCAACACTTTAGCCGTACCCAACACAAATTAATCAAATACTCTCATCGTGATATGAGCATAACTCAAAAACACGAATTATCTAGGTGTTAAGACCTACACCGATGAATTCCACTTTAGGCACGAAATTCTGACAAAACCCTGGGAACCGTTTTCGGGGAAACAGACCAGCAATTATTACCGTATTTCGTCTGTCAAAACTTCAGGATTCAGCATTTCACGCAAGTGTATAGTTTTGACGAGGTTTGTTGATATTTTTTGGGGCTCGATCTCCCTCGGTTTTTGTCACTGATGGTTGTGTATACAACAGTAACGACTGACGAGCGCAGTCGTGGCGGGACGGCACCTATATTATGTAATATACCTATTATGACCTTATAAACCACACCTATATAGATGCAAACGTACGTTTTCACAATATGTATATTTTAATGTCACTCAAACACAGAAAATTATGTAAAATTAATTTAATATAAAGCGAACACTCGCGCGCCGGCACGGTATAATATATTGTGATATTTGTTCGCGATGTATTCTCGACATTGAATTTTAATTAAGGAATCCAATTATCAAACACAATAGAAACGTCGTGTTCGTTATTAATTCATTCAATCACCGCATTTCTTCGACAATAAATTATACTACTAAAACACAACTTCTGTTGGCGTAAAACCGAACAAACATCAAAATTTGCCACCTATCTTATTTACGACCAGTAACGCAATAGTGTAAATTAAAGATATTCACTATTCGATATAAAAGGTAATGTTAATATACTTTTTACTAGGTATTGGTGGGTGTATGTGCTTATTGTGACAAAATAATGTGTTTGTATTCAAAACAGGCGTTTCTCTAACCATCGTACAATCAAAACTAGTGAAAAATAAATATTACTGATTCGATTTGAATCGAAAACTGAACCGTAATAACTATATAATATTAAAGGTGCCTATACCTACTATAATCATTATAATCGTATAAAATATTTTTTTTATTTACAACAATTGCTTACAATAAACTATGTAATATAAGTAGGTATATTGTTACTACTGTGTAGATCATATACATTTTTATTTTTATTTTCCTCGGAATTATTATATTAGGCCACCTGCTCCGTATTATTTGGACAATAATTTTCGTAGATGGTAATAAATTAAAAATAAAACCCTATATGGAATAACGGAGGCCTCTCGGGGGATGGACTTCGTCGTGGAATATCAGTTATGATTTAATAATAAACTAATAATGACTAAGTGATCATTTTTTTTTTTTTTAACAAACAGGACCACCGTCTTAGTCATTCTTTTGGAATTCACTGGAATACGAGTAGTTGCTAAATCATAAATAAATATTATAATATAATATACCTATATTTCAATATTGTACAATTTTATTACAACGAATCCACAGGTAATAATCATATTATTCGTACCCCAAATAAGTTTGAATAATGACTAAGAATTGCCTTTTATTATTTAATAATACCTTTTTCCAAAATTATACAACCGTATAGTTTATTGTTTTTTTACCGAAAACTAAATCATATTTTTAACAATTATTGGTACTTACCTACTATTATATGGTCATAATATAAACATATTCTTTTTATTTACCTCTGCTTTTAATATTAATATTAATAGGTATTATTACGACATAATTGTAAATTATGTAAATATTTTTTCTCTCAAAATTCTTGATAGGTACCTAATAAGTAAAAATAAAATACGACATGGAATAACGAAATGAAGAGGCCTTTTATAGGCGGAAGTACCTACTTCATCGTGGCTTATTAGTTATAATTTAATAATGCTAATAATGATTACCTAGATGCTAACATTGATCTACATTTTTTTTTTTTAACCAACAGGACCACTGTTTTTTTTAGCTTTTTTTGGGGAATCCCTGAAATAGTACAAATATAACATGGATATAATATTGTAAAAAATATGCACTATTTCAGAGTTTTGAGTATCAAATTAACATACAATTAATCTAATACTACGCACATTATAAATTATACTAATAATTAGTATCCCAAATTAGTTTGAATTATGTCTAAAACTCGCCTTCGAGAAATCATTTGTATAATAATACGTATTTTTTTTGTAAAAGATACAATCGATTATTTTCGGAAATCGTTAAACCCAACTTGGATTTGTTGGTAGTTGATTAAAAATGATTACCTAATATACTGCGAGACGTATAAGGTGCCATTAAAAAAACAAAAAAAATAAATAAACGAACATATAATATAATATGATGGCTGATTTAGGTTTTATATGTTCTACTGTTAATCAACGAGGAATTCGAATTTAAATATTAGGCTTGCATCTTCAATTAAAATACTGGTCCTGAACATAATCTAAGATTCTCAGTCACCAATTTATATAAATGAATATATTATCATATAGTTGTGTTGCAGTGACGACGAGACGATCTGAAAATATATTGTGCTAGTAAAAATCCTTCCATAGTAAAAACAAACTAGAAAACGTGTCTTGTGATGTATAATAATACTATACCTCCCTACCTAGGCAGTAATAATTATTAATCTGTAAGCATCGGCTTAAGTTCAACCAAAATGTTGTGAAACGTCTAAACATTCGTTATGGACAGGACGTTATAGGCACCTATATACCTACCTATATATCGATTAATATTACGTGGGTAAAATCCGATTCGGACGTTGTCGTCTCGACGTTTATCAAACGTACCAATCACGAGAAAAGAAATCAAAAAAAGTGTTTAAATAAAATACGTCATTCGATTTGAGAAAAATAAATATTTCATGGGTCCTCTGCCTACGCTGTTACTCACCGGGGTTCGATTGCACAGTTCGATTAAAAACTAAAATAGATCGATTTCAAACGAATTTATTATTATTGTGTACGAAGATGGTATACTAATGAACGGACGATCCCCCCCCCCCCAAGGTCTTTGGTGTAGTGAGAAATTCGCCCCTCCAAATTTTTCAAAAATGTACTCGAGTAACTATGAAAATTGATTTGTAGTTTTATTTTTATGTCTAATTTTTTTTTCTTAAAACAAATAATATATCGTCGGAATATCCAACCATTTTTTTTTCATCAATTATTAATATTTTACTTAATTTAGAAAATCTTTTAGTTGAGCGCAGTGTCTTTAAACCAGGTTCAACAGGTTCTAAATTAACACTTGTTTATTGGTATTTTGTGTATTTTATCAAATATATGTTATTATGTATTTTGTTAAGTGGTACCTGTATAGAGTAGAGCAATGGGTTTTTGTAAAGTATCGTGATTATTATAATGCTTGTTTCAAAAGAATAATTATCATCATTTTAAAAATACTGTTTATTGATATGTGTTTCAAATAGACATTGATAAAAAATATACGTCTATAATTTCTTTAATTTATGCTTATGTTTGGAAATTTATTCTATGCCTCAAGTCAAAAAATAAATGTTTTAATAATTTTTGTTTTTGGGGAGATGTATTGATGAAAATGCACCGAAAATAGTCAGGCGGGGGGGGGGGGGGGGGAAATCAGTTTGAAATTATCCAAGATTCGTCTAATATATTATCTATAATGCGATATCAATAAACGAAAAATCTACTTGACTACACCTATATAGTATATATAAGCTTTGTTAAATAGAACTTTTTTTTTAAAATCAAATTAAATTGTTTTTCTGTTTCAGCTGCAATTATGGGCATAAAGGAGTTTTACGACGGATGTGATATCTTCATAACAGGTGGCACCGGATTCATGGGCAAAGTTTTGATCGAAAAACTACTGCGATCGTGCCCGGGCATCAGAAACATATATGTTTTAATGAGACAATCCAAAGACAAATGTATAACTGAAAGAGTCAAAGACATATTGGCGTTACCGGTACGTGAAAATTTTAAATAGGTTTACTCGCACGCAATCGTAAAATGGTTTGTGTAAATCATATCGCTTTTGAACGATTGATAAGTATAGAATAGTATATATACAATGAACGGGGTGCAACAGAAACGTCTGAAAAATGTCAAATAAAAAATAATTGTTACCATATTAAACGTATGACAAAAACTATTATGCAAATTATACGGATAGTGAAAATATAATTTGAGAATTCCTAGTATCACAGGTAGGCAAGTGTTGAAATTCCTAGAATTAATATTTTGAACAAGGTATAATTACGTAATATTTTTTTATATTACGTTTAAAAAAAAAAATTACTGCAAGAAAATTGTAAAAAATAAACTAACTACTCGACTTGTAAAGTAAATCGTTTTTACCACCAAAATTTTTCTAAAAATTAGATTTACAAATTGGATGATTTTAATTTTTCCAAAACAATGTGCTTCAATTTTAAATTTTCAATATTTAAAACAAAAATAAAAATGTGTATACTGTTCTTGAAACGCAGAAGTCTATAAATTATTATTTATTACCCATCTAAAAATTGTTTTTTTTTTTAAATATTTATATGGACTGAAGTTGTTTAATTTGTCAGACCATTCTGTTTTACATCGAAGGTATCCGACATATTATGTACGTCCGACAAGTTCGACGACGACATTATGATCATAATTCACTCATCGGACATAATATCGTTTTCGAACCCAGGGTTCAATTTAGTTAATGATGTTCGAACAAGTGTAGGTATAAGTAGAATAAAACAAATTCGAAATTATTCAATGGACAACATTACTACTTATTATTTGACATAAAACCTACTGTCACACGCACACCATATCTCATGAAGATGAGTTTGGGTTTAAGATGCAAACCATAAAATTGATGGATTTATGTAGACCGTAATTTGATATTATTATATCTAAGATTCGGATTTTGGAGCAAAATAAAACGTTAAAAAACATATTTCATTTCGCTGAAGATCGAAAACTACAAAAACATAGTTACTGCAAAATGTGTACTGCGGGATCGCACATAATGTTTTAGAAAATATAACATTTTTGTCGTCAGTCGTTAGCGTATCCATTTGAATAAGACGTCGGAAAGACAAATGCGCATGACTGCCCGAGTCAAAGACATGTTAGCATTACCGGTACGAGGTCAACTAAACATTTAAATTTTAATCAACTCGAGAGCGGCGTCCAAAGCTTCGGGTTTTCGTGCGGTTGATAAATATATAAATATTTTTTCGATAAATTCGACGACGACATTACAATAAATTTATAATTCACTTGTCGGACATAATATCGTGTTTGCCTTCACACGGGCTCTGCGGGGTTCGATGCCGCAGCGAATTATACTCGAACAAGTGCACCTGTATAAGTAAAATAGAAAAAGATATTAAATGGACAATGTCACTGTTAAACGTATATCTCGCTACTAAACTGTAATGTAGCGTATAAAGAGAGTTTGGGTAACTATATAGACGTAAAAGTCATAAACCATAAAAGTGTACGTTTACTATCGAGACTATTATTTATTTTAGGCTTTATTGTACGAACAGTATGATGTATGTCGTAAAAAAACAAATCGTCCAAGAGACATGGTGATAATCGCCAAAAAAAAAAAAAACAATAGCATTTATTTCGTTTGAGCCGATCTACTACAAACAGATAGTAGAAACAAATTTAAAGAATTAATATTACTCTAATATTTTACAAAATATAAAACTTTTATCGGTCATTAATAAATCCTCGCTGAATTCTCTAACAAGATTTTTAATTTCGAATCTAAAATGTTTAACTTTTGACTTTTCCGAATACATAATATTTAATATATATATATAACATACATAAAACTAAACTGTAATTACTGCACGCTCATTTTGATGAAACTACAATAATTCTAATATCGTTTTTGTTTTTTGTTTTTATCAGCTTTCTAATAAATGTCGACAGTTTTAAAACAGTCGACCATTTTTGGTAATAGTATAAAGTAGGATAATGAAATACAATCGTAGAAAAATATTGTGCAATTTTCATGAAAATGATACAAAAATGAATGAAAAGTATCAACTTAAACATAACATTTTTGTCAGTCATCAATACATCCACATCGAATTCTGTCAAAAGTTTTTTAATTTTAAGTTTAAATTTTTAACTTTTGGCAATTTTACTTAATTTTGAAACAAAACCGTACATCAAAGTTTGTAGAATACTATATTCACATAGTCTACGAATTTATGTTTACCGATCAACTATAAAGTGTTGGACCTTTCTATAAAAATAAGCTGTAAATCAGGTTGCTACATACTCAAGACAATATTACCCGAAACACATGTTTCCCTCATCTTAAGTCGTAAATAAAAATGCAATAATACGGTCACTTTGATAAAACTTCAATTCCGGTATTCTGATATTGGCATTTTATCAGCTTCTTCTATTAAATTACCACGATTTTACGTATTATTTTTCTGGAGGTAGTAAAGTGATGTAATAAAAATAAAACCATAACATGTGAAACGTGTGAAATTTTTATGAAAATTACCTAAAAATGAGGGTAAAGTTAGTAAGTACTTTAATGGGCGAACGTAAACTGCGCCCAAATGATCTTTTTTTTTGTAAAATGCGCCCAAAATTTTATCTATGTTAAAAAGGTACAGTGTAAACTGCACCCGACTTATTACTTTTAAATTTTGACTTATTAAAGTCTCTATGTTTGACGATTGTAGTAAATAGTATAAATGAACCATTTAGATTACAAAACTCCAAAACAAAAAAAAAAAACTAGAAAAGTCATAAAAATTAATTAATAAATATAATAGTGGTCAAATTCCAATTGATGAATGTGTGTCCACCATATATAATTATTTGTATTTATTTTGCTTTTTAAAATTATATTTTATTTTTAATTCCTAATATGTTATTGTAATATGACGTTTTTATTTATAATATTTGTGTTTATTTATCTTTTTATAATTATATTTTATTTTTAATTATTCATATTATATGTCTGTAACGAATTGAGTATTTTACCTGTAATTTTACACTTGATAAAAACTCGGGCGCAGATTACATGTGTGATTTTGTGTTTACCTGTATTTTGGGTGCAGTTTACAATCGCCGCTTTTAATGCGACAGAAAGAAAAAAAGGACATTTGGTGGATAAAGCCGGAAAATAAATAATTAATAGAATAAAATCAGAATGATTTAAATACATTATCAGAATTGTCTTTATCCATCATACTCTTCCCCAAAAAAGTATATTTTGATACTAAATCCAAGCACTAAATTCATTTCTAAACTGTTAATGATCTTAAACATCCGCGGTGCGTCAAAAATAGATAGTGGCCATATTATAAATTTTAAATTTTATACGATTGCATTTTTGTACTTACATTTTTTTATAAAGTTAAATCTTTGAATAAAACGTATTTTAAAGACTGAATGTTTCATCCGGAGTGATCCATTTAGCGTGCATAAGGCACTCGTTAATTCAGGAAACACTAATGTTTTTTGAAAAATATTCCATTTGTGTTCTTTACAAAACAATATTTTTGGAAAACAATTATATTTTTTATCGTTTTTATTTCTTAAATTTTCAATATTTTGAATAGCAAGATACATTATTATTAGTATCATATCCCGTAACAAAATATTATTCAGAATATTTCGATCGACAAAAATTAAATTACGGACTAGCAGTATTTATTATTTATTAGTTACAATAGTTTTAACTTTAAATACATTTTAATAAACTAAAAGTCCAAAATTCGACTTTTATGTCCCGAAGTCAAAGTATCTACTTCGGAAATATTCTGTTATGTTTTAGTTAAAAAATGAGAAAACGTATTAAAAAAAAAAAAAAAACGCTAACGATTAAAAAAAAAAAAATGATAATAAACGACAATAAACATTTTATTGGAAAATTATTCAACGGTATATAATAATTATGCAAAAAAAAAAAAACGTCGATAGCTTATGAAATAATGAGTGTCATCTTGTGTTGAATAAATCATTTTGTAAAGGTTGAAACTGAACGTAACCTCTAAACGGCCTACATAAATCAGTCCTGATGTATTTAATTTCCAGCCGCTTATTGGCTCAACATAATCATATGCCTGGTTTTCAATCAAACAGTCGTCTCGTATTTTTCTCGTAAAATAACGTTTCTCTTCGACACTGCCCCCGGTGAAAATGTCACCTTTAATACACCAGTCATATCCCGTCTAGTCCTATGCTCTATCATCGGTTGCTTCATCATGGTTGTCGATCAACACGGATCCACGCAGGTGCCGAACAATAATTCGTACCGATTCGTTCAGCCCTAAGCGATATCTTGCCAACTCGTATTGTTTCTGAAAAATACTGCTCCGCGTCATTATTGTTTTACTGTTTTATATTTTCCCTAGCCAATGCCGTTTAGAATAATATCGTACTAAAAGTAGGATATATATAATTGATCTCCGACGAAAACCATTCCTTTATTGGTATAGGTACATCGTGTTTGTTCTTCTGACATAATGTCTTTCCCGACCAAAAACCCAGTCCGATTAATAAATTATTGTTTTCCTGAAAAATACGGTTCCGCGTGAATATCTTCCTCGCTTAATAAATGCTCTCCCGACCTTATTGCGACGGGTGGTGGGTAGACGCGATGGAAGTTAAACGCGTCGTGACGCATATAATACAATATTGTTTCCCTCGCGCTCATCTCGTGTAATGAAAACCACTGCTCAAATAAGAGCAAAAAAAGTTTTTTTTTTTTTGGGGGGGGGGGGGAGGTACACAATTTCAGGTATATCCCCGATCGTGGGTGGTGGAGTGTTGAAGTGGTGTGCGCGCTGTACGATTGTATTTGTACATATAGTGCTTAATTTCTTCATAATCGTATAAGCCCCGAGCTCCCGCAAATGTCCGACGACCGAATCACTCGGGATATACCGCAGCCGGGTATAATAGGAATACGCAATAATAATAATATTATGTTCGATCGACGAAATAAAACAAAACGTTTAACATATAATTACAATTTAATAGTAATTTACGCGATTCGGGCGAACAGCCTAATATACGCAGACCTACGTTTTAATTATCTGTTCCGTTTTCGTCGGGTCTTAAACGCCGAACGCTACAAACGAGTAAAAGCGATTATTACACGTGCCGAGTTCGAAAGGTATTATATATACTATATTATTATTATTATTATTACTGCGATCCATCCGCTGTGCAGGCGGTACTTTAAGCGACGAAATGCGCACACACTTGTCCGGATTAATGTTATTTACTTTTATTGTCCGAACGACTTTACACTCCGTTTTACGAGCGGATTCGATTATGGTCTTTATTATTATTTGTTTTCGAATTTTCTGCAGCCGGACATGACCGTAATAATATATACCTACTAGCCGTTGGCTCCACCGGAGGAGTTGTTGGCTTTCGTAGTGTACACTGAATTTATTTCCTGACAAATAATTATTACTATACACTAGACACGCGCAAATACGCGTAAATCGTTTTCATCGATCGAGCACGTCATTATAATATTCCGTTCGACAGACGAGTTCCGACGATTACCAGTTTCGCGTTAAAATAGTAATCTATTTGAACGTAAACATAATACGGGCGAATATACAGAAATAGTGAACATTTCAACTCAAATATTGTAGGCACATAATATTATACTATATTGTGTACGTATAAGAATTCTGTAACAATAACAAACATACTGTTATTTGACTTTCTACATAATATTTTATCATAATACAGGTCATATACTATTATAATATAATATGGATATAATTGAGACGTTACGTACAATATAATATAGTTCGATAATATTATCGTACGGCGATTAATAATTTCCGTCTGATTGAACGACGATTTTGATAATGCAGTAATAACTGCACTCGAACGGTATGTAGCGACGAACAGAGTCAATATTATATTTAAATGTTGGGTTACCATTATGTTTCTATACATCGTTATAAGAGCGAAAAGTTACACAATCCAGGCAAATATTTGTCCGGAAAATATGACTATCATTAGGGCTCGGATTTAAATGCCCTAAAAATATCAAAAAAATGCCCTTTCAAAAAATGCATTTATGACCTAAAAACTCTAAAAAATGCCCTAAAAATATCAAAAAATACGTTTCAAAAAATGCATTATTTATTAAATAAATTCAAATTTAATTATTATTAAAAAATGAGGAACAAATAAAATTCTAATAAAAATTATAAATTATTAACTATATTAGAATGTACAAAAAAAAATTAAAATCAAAAATTAAATTATATTTGCATAGTTTAGTTGTGTGCAATAATATCGGCTAATTGGATGGTGTGACATAAAGATTGTAAAAACTGGAAAACCGGATGTTAAATTAGTTGAAATAGTTCAAAATGAAAATAATTTTTATTACTGTACTACTATGTAGTATTTATACCTCAGTGAGGTTAATTTTTTTAGTCATAATACGACAAATAGGTCAAAAATGTCCTAAAAATTAAAAAATGCATTAAAACCGTCAAAAAATGCCCCAAAAAATTATTGTGGTTAGATTGCGAAGTACTTGAAACATATTTATAGCTTGGAAAGCATCGCGTAAGATATCCCAAAAAAAAGATACAAATGCATTGAAATCCGAGCCCTAACTATCGTGTTCGCATATAGGTAATACCTCCAATGTCAAGGACATGTAGTGTTTTATCGATTTTGGATAATCGATATCGGCATATTATGGCAGAGATACTGTGTCGCGGGTTAGGATATTTTATTATACAGTGGTCGCCGCTTATCGGACTCACAGTTAATTGACTCATTCGCCTATTAGACTCAAAACGGCTGGTGCCTATTTGCACATAATATATTAACACACAGCAAAAAATTAGTCTATTCGACTCACACGCCGGTTAATAGAGTCATTAGATAAAAATTAGATAAATAAATAAAATATGTATACACACACTGAACAAACGTGTTATAAATGCAAAAAAATTCGGTACCGGTATTTTGTACGTAGAGGGATTCAGCAAAGAGGCGATTTTGACTTATTCGAGCAACATAAATCATACGAAGATATGATTATGAAGTTGGCCGAAGAAGGAAAAATCCAATCAACCCTAGATGGATTTTTATCGAAAAATTTATTCGATTTTACATACATCATTATATTACATATTATTTTATTTTTAATTGCGCATAGCTAGATTTTTATTTTTATACATACATACCTCGAATCTCAACAAATATATTTAATTAAATACGTTTTTAAATTTAAGGATTTTTAAAATTTGTTTTTTTTAGTCATTCGCCTTATTGACTCGTTCGGTTAATATGGACTCAAATGGTCAGGTCCCAAAGTGAGTCCAATAAGCGGCGATCACTGTATTATAGTGATATTACTGTTAGTAATAATTGAGTAGGCTGAATTAATTTATACAAAACATATAGTATTCACATGCATGTTATAAAAAATTATCAAGAACCCACGATTGGGTTAAGGGGGGAAAGTAATGTGACTGACTTTATTTTTCACCTTTTTTGGTTACTATTATTACTTTTTTTGACATCAACAAGGTTGAGAAACGCTGGGTCACAGACTTACAATACGAACTACTAATGAGAAACCTTATATAAAATTATATACATTTTTAACAAGAAAATAATTTGCAATATTTCGTGATTTTGACGAATTTTGTAAACATTTTAAGTCTAAATGCTTGTAAAAAAAAAAAATCGTTTATTTATCTTTAATATTTATAAACAGCTGTAGAGGGACAACTAACGAAGCATCTATTGTAAGTACCTATTGGATTTCTAAGCTTTTACGAATTATTTTTTTATCGACATTAATAGGAAAAACTCTTTAAAAAAAAAGAGAAACAACCGGTAAACTTCTGGTAAAAAGCTTAAAATGTAAGGTGATGTAATCGCTGTTAAAAAATATTAAAAATACATAGGTAAGCACGATATTTTTGCAAGTATTTATATTCGTCAAAATAACGAAAATTAAATAATTATTTTGTAGTAAAAATATAAACATTTTAAGATTAGGTTTGTTTTACCTTTTTAAGTGACTTAGCTACTGTAACGTAAAATTGGTCAGGGAAAAAATTGTTCCCAGTCCGAAGACATTTTACATACATTTTAATAAATAATAAACACTAATCGTAATATTTTATATTAGCTATTCCACGCGTTGCCCAAGAATCGTTTTTTTTTTATAAATATCATATATTATATTTGTAAAAAATGGATATTATGTAATATTTATACTAATTGTAATTGTAGTGACGTTATATAATAATATATAACCATTGCCAACTCTATAAATAAATAAATAAATAAAAGAATTCTTTTTTTCGTAGGAAAGTAAATTCATGTGTGTAAGCTGTGATCTACCCTCAACGTCCTCCAAGTCTCGAGTAAACCATATCGACATAGCTTTTATTAGAAACAGTAGGGTAGTTTTTGAGTCCATTGATTACAGACAGACGGACAAATATCCATTTTAGGTTTCTAATTTTAGAAAATCTTATATCCCCGTCGTGTCTGTCCGTTAAATCGTTTGTTAGTTACCTACCAGTACGTAGTTACGATTGCTTGTATTCATAATTTACAACAGCAGTTCTATTCAGAGTAAATTCGTACTGTCCAGCAAGCCAGTATTAAAAAATATCAAATTATGAGCATTCAATAAACATTCAATAGGTACCAATATATCGTAAAAGTTAACAAATAATTATTTTTAAATCGCACAAACCTGTCGTCCCACAATGGGATGGTTCCCACGTAATTTATGTAATTGTTTTTTAAATTGGACATTGAATAACTTTTTTCACCAAGAATACTAAATATAATTGTGAAAGTCGTATGCAACATCAAGAAAGTTCCGAAGAACAGAACTCTACCCGTAATTGGTTTTCCTTCAATTATTGATCGAGTTAATGAAAAAAACAACCAAAATATTGGTTTTAGAATTTAAAGGTTTTACGCGTAGAACTCTTTCGTTCTAATTTAAATCATTTTTTTCTATTCGTTGATACCAATATTATTCTGAGCATAAATTACACTATAAATTACAAATTTCTTAGTGTGCAACATTTTTAGTTTTCAATTTAGTATTATATATTGTATTATGTGACGAACCAAGTGTAATAAGTAATTACTAATAAGTTACAACCGTACCAGACGATAATACGATGTTACTAAGTGGTGTGCCTTTTAATCTAAATCATTTGATTACCCTATACATATCCATAAAATCAAATGGAGTTAGTCCAGCCTCTCGGGGTAAAAAATGCATTCACATTATTCTTTTAAAAATAAAATTAACTTGTTGACTTTTTATACTATTTACTATATATCATTCGGAATGTAGGTATTATCTTGTCACCTCGACGAAACAAAAACAGGCGATAAGTTCATGCTGGAATACTATTTTATTATGACACAATAATCATTTATATTGTGTCGGCCGTATAACCGTGTTATAACAGTACCTTTTCATTTTGAGATTTTACATTTATAAGAGCGCCGTTTAGAACTACCTATTTCATTCTTAAATATTGTTTAGAATGAAAAGTCAGTAACTGATATACCTCGGTTTTTCGTTTGTCATTAGCGTACCTATATGTCATTGCACAATCAACGAATCGATACAATTTCGAGATTGCGTTATGTGTACGACAAAAAATAATATATTAAATCACAAACCATTTTACAAAATCGTTCAAAAAATTTGAATTAAAACCTTTTCATTCCGAGACCACGTGATACAGAATTATTGTTTATTGCATTTTAATCGACGAACTGTTGTAATATAGTTATACTATCAAAAAAAAAAAAAGCCATTTAGCGTGGTATTAAAATGCGTTTAGAAACTGGCAATTTCGAACTCTCGAGGGGGAAGAGCTTTCCCGACTTGTTCAATAACATAATATCTTTCTTACTGTTGTGGGTTTTTTCCAGCTGTTCGACAAGATAAGAACGGAACATCCGGGTGTCGCGGAAAGCAAAATAATTCCCGTGTCCGGCGATTTGAGCGAAATCCGGCTGGGGATGAGTGATGACGATTACAACATGTTGGTCCGCAACGTGTCCGTCGTTTTTCACGTGGCCGCGACGGTTCGGTTTGACGAGCCTATTCGAGATGCGATCATCAAAAACGTGAGAGGAACTCGGGAAGTCGTGGGATTGGCCGCACAAATGAAAAACCTCAGGGTAAGTAAGACTTTTCCAGTGATTACCTACGTCTATACATATAATATATACTACCCCAAGTCCGCGCGTATCCGAACAGTGGCAAAGAGGGGACAAGCTCGGAAATCAAAACCAAATCCCGGATTAGTGGTCACGGAAATGTTATACTTTACGGTATACGGTCGACGGTCGTAGTTGGTAAACATAGTCTTAGACAGTTGTAGGACAAATGCTTTGCGCGTTGATACGTTTCCCTCGCGAATATCGTGTTTCTGGACTCTGTAAAAGCGCAGATAATAATACTTGATGTGTATAGATTTCAAGTGTACTTTTTGAAACTGTAGGTATGGATTTTGTTCATTTAAGACTGGCGCCAGTAAACAGGAATTATTTTCACAAATTTGGGTCAATGGAACACTAGGTATAGCATAGTCGCCACTAGAGAACGGCTATTAGGAGATGTTTTTCCTGATGTGTATTTACATTTTTTATTTTTACATCATAATTACAATTATTTAATGATACGCAACTTTAAAACAATAGGTCGAAATCAAACCATCAGGTCTGGACGTGTTTACGTCTTTTAGCAGATAACCTGGTGGTTATAATGATATATGCGCGTATCACAAAAAATACAAATACATATATATATATGGTGCGATTTCATTTTATAAATGTATATAATCGTATTATTATTACGTTAAATTACAAATATTGTGTAAAATTCATTTTTTCGTTTAAAAAAAAAAATGTTATAAAGTGGATAAGTACTGCTTTGCTGTACATTGATTGATTACCTATTATCGTAATGTATGCATGTTGGATTCGAATTAAATCATTAGCATACTGTTAAATGAATAATTTAATTGAATAATTAAACTAAAAAAATTATAAAAATCTAAAGTATCTGACTGCCTATGTAAATAGCGTTACTTTCCAGTAAACTTTTTTTTTAAAAGGTAGAAAAGTTCACGAGAAATCTTCTATTCAGTTTTTAAATGTTGCAATACAAATAAAAACAATTTACGAATTTCTAACTAATTTACAAATATTCTAAATTTTATCAAAGTTCAAACATCAGACAATCCTAAAAAAGTGAATTTACCTTTAAAAAGGACCCCTACTAACAACTTATGTGGAATCTTAGTGCATTACATTTTCAAGTTTTTTGACGATATTATATTTTTTCTTATCTGCGGGCTGGATAAAATTGGTTCACGGGCCCCGTTTGGCGACTCCTGCCTAGAATTAGGTGGTTGGTTTAGGTGCTGGCGTGAAAAAAATGATTGAAGTTGGGTTAAAAATGAAATGTGTTGCGGCTAACAAAATTTTGTCATCAAGTGCTCCGTTAACACTATAGTTTTTTGTTTATCTTTTCCAAATTGCTATTTTCCGAAGCTCGACACGAAACAGTATAGGTACATGTGCTGAATATTTATCATATATTAACGGTTTATATCCACCTTATAATAAAACTGGCACTTTAAAAAGTTCTCTAAAAGACAATTTATATTCGTCGCATCAGTCTTGTAAGATTTTAAGAATTTATTAAATTGTATAACCCATCATAATTACCTAACAGTAATATTTCCAAATAGTTTTTAATCTTTATAAGTAACTATTTGACATTTTGATTAAAAAAAAAAACTTCTCAGTATCTAGTGGCTAGTATAGGGTAGCAGCCTATAGTGACTTATAAGTCTTTTAAGTGGATGATTATTATATGGAATTCTACAGTTACCTATGACACTTTTGACGAATGTATTTCATGACCTGTATACATTTCGGGTAAACATAAATTAAACTTTTAAGGGGATTCCACAATACTAGTTTTTTTTTTTTTTTGAAATAGACCTATATGTATAATTAGAGTTCTAAAATGTCATGAAATGTGTTATTTTTAAACATTTCAATTTGATGAAAAATAAAAAATAAAATTGTAATTCAAAACTATAGTAAGCGAAATACAGTAAACAATTATACTACTTAATTAAATGTTAAGTGGAAAATGTTATAGAAATATTGCTTGCATCATACATTGTAGAAATTATATAATAATTATCCATCTTAAATTTTGTATCACCTATCTTCTCATCTACATCGTGATTAGGAATTAAATATTGATAATCACTAATCACTGATTAGTAATCAGGTATGAAATCAGTCTGACCATCTGGTGACGATATTATGAAACATAAAAAACCGACAAAGTTGAAATTATATTCTTCAATATTATAAGAATTGTGTAAATGTTTCAAGTTCGAAATACTTCAAAATGAAAATTTCATGAGAAATATTGCATACTCGTAAGTCGTAAGTCATAACTCTATGTATAGACTGCATATGCGTTGCCGCGTACAGACTTCAGTTCTACTCCGAAAATAATTTTGTAAAACATATTTGAATTTATTGTGAGGTCTATTTTGAATCTTTCGAATCAGAACTGTATAAAAATTTCAATCTGTATTTTTGATTAAATTGACATTTTTAAGAATGCGAGAATTTTTTGAAGAAAAATAAATTAAAACTGTGGCTCAGAGGATCCCAAGTCGACTTTACGACACAACAGTAATTTTTTTTTCAAAATTTTTATCGGTGTGAAACTCAAGCCTGTATGTCCTGTATATATCCGTTCAGCAAAAATCGAATTTAAATATACATCTGTGGCGCCATCTTTCCAGTAAAATGATATAAAATTCCACGATTTGTAAGTATTTACTTAATTTCTCACCAAATGACAAAACGTACGAACTTGAAAATTGGAACCATAGTTCCTCCAATGCTCTGGAATTCTAGATGTGCTTGGAAATGTATATCGAATAGCAAATTAACAGTGTTTGACGAGCAAAATATGGTCAATTTTCACAAGTGTGTCCAAGCTCAGGTCATCTTGTAAATTAGTAAGTGGCTTAATAAGTGGTGATCATTAATGACGTGAGTTTATTGCACGTAGATGCTTTTTGTCTATCTCACCGAAGGACCGAATAATTCGAGGAGACTTCTGAAAACTCATTTGAATTCTTCGGTATATTGATATGCCCACTTGAGATCTGCAATCAGGCAACATTTTAAGACATTAAATTCAAATGTCGAACAATTTCTAACACTTACAGGTGTTGGAATAAGAAATTTGAAAAAAAGTGTCCCGATAAACCTTAATAAATCCTATTAAATTCAAATCACTTATCAAAAATATAATTTTGCATTACCAGTACTGTCAGCATGATTGACGAAAAATTGGTACATACATTTTGGTTGAAATAATAATTAACTGACCCGTTTGTAATTCTCTTCACTAGCGCTTCTATAGCCACTGTCGTTACTATAAGTACCTATTAGACATTTTTTTTATTCGAGAAGAGATAACCTTCGGCATCGTGGCCGTTGGGAGATTATATTCTGTACATAATCAAATACAATAAAGGATTAAATTATGACGGCAATAATATCAGTAGTTACTATTATTGATAACCATGCATAAAAACACACACGGATAGCGTGAAATTGTCCGTGTTTGACACATTAAAACGAGCTCGTATTATTTATCAGTGATATATAAAGTGTATAAATGTTACAGCTAAAGTGTTGAATTCCGTTGTTTTATGAAATAACTAGGTAGTTCATGAATTACCTACGAATGTTGGTTAAATTATGAAATAATACTTGTAATAATTGTACTTTAACTAGTTTTTCCATAGATTCTATACAATTTCAGTTTGATATCCGTTGAAGTAAAAAATTAGTTCAAATTAAAAATATATATTAAAATATTTTATTTTACCGAATCAATTATAGTTATATTATTTATTTATTTGTTCCTGTAAGGCTATTGTGGCATTTAGAGTTGCGCAATACCACTTTTTTTTCTACAAACACATCGCTTTGTGCCACATTTTTTGGTACAAGTGCGCTTAAAAAAACCCTGACCAGTTCCCAGTGACTGCTCAGTTGCCGCAGATCTTAACGTAACACTTTTATTTGGAACATCTTCTACAGCTAACAAATTTTTTGAACATCCAGTGAACTGGGATCGAGAGTATAATCGTAATAACACTCCTGTAATTATAATGTGTAGGTAGGTATGAAATAAATAAAAAATAAAAGGACGTCGATCTTATCTGATTTGATATATGTTATATTAAATTGTTGAAAATGTTAGAACTATATTTATTTATCATGATATTTTATTATTTACAATTTGACACATTAACGAAGTGATGCCAGGGAATGAATAAAATAACTAGTTAAAATAAAAATTATATACATTACCTACAAGCTTTAGTTATTGTATAAATTGCCTAGTTATTTCATAAACTAACTGATTCAACACTTTAACGGTAACATAAATATTAAATATATATAGATACCTACGTCTTTTTGAAATGATCACTTAATTTCGAAATCATTTTATTCTTTATAATCCGCAAAGGCTTGGACATTAGAAATGTAATAATTCATCGGAAATAGTGATGTTAAGAAATAATACAATATAGTTGAATTGTCGATCGAAGCAGTCGCTCAGAAGTCTTCACATTTGACATTTTCAACTGTTATCTCTATTAAAAAAAATATCGTCGCATTATATGAACAAAAACGTACTAATGCGTATATAGTAAATCTAACTCGACATACGGTTGTACATGGGCGCAACTTGGGGGGGGAGGAGATTTGTCAAAATGGAGAACAATTTTTAAGAATACGAGGTTTTACATAGATATTATATGGATGAACAAATTATTATTACTTTGACTCGCTGTGAATTTGAAGAAAAAGGCATTATTGTAAACCGTGTATTTAAAACATAGGTTCTTTGGTAGAAATATTGAAATAGCTATACGGCAATGGATTCAATTTTGAAAGTTTTAAATTTAAATATAATTTTTTTTAATAATTTCCATCGATTAAAACTTTTTACACACATTTTATGAATTATTTTTATTTATTTAGTTCTCGTATACGCACACCGTACTTGCAAATACTTATTTTGATTTTGAATATTTTCCACTTGATATTTTTTCAAACAATTACGTATACTTCAGTGCGTTTTATATTGCGTTTTCAAGTTTTAAATGCACTTACAACGTTTTTTAGCGCATTCTTTTAGGATTCATAGTTTGTTTTTTTAGTACATTTTGCTAAAAAACCATCGCCATGAGATTCACAAAATATAAATAATAGCAGCAATAAGGTTTTCCGCTAGTGGACGGTGACCATATTTAATAAAATTATGAAGTGGTCGATAATTACTGTAATCACGATTTATGTCATCAATCGTATATTGTTAACGAAACGTGTAAGTAAGTAGGGGCACTATTACGTTCACACTTTAATTTTTGTTTAGTGTTATCAGTCGGTTTATGTTATCTGTTTTTTACCAATACCTACCAAAATGATTATACCTTAAGGCCATTGGTGCAACTACGGGGATGCAAAGTGGTCATTAGCAATCCTCATTTTTTATTTCAAACTATTATTATTTTAGTGAAATGTCGTCGGTCTTATCGTGTTCATAGGTGCCCGTGTTTAAGAGGTTTATCATAATATTGCGTACTTATATGGCGACGACCACTTGTACTACGGTATCTCACTGTTGCGATTACTGAGCATGAGTTCAAGACTTTATTTTTATCTTTATTGATAGATCTGGAGTCGAAAAACGTTTGGTCTTATCAGATAAATTAAATATTCGTTATTTATTTTTCGTCGATTTATTTATCAATGAATTATTTAAACCAGGGGTTGTGAGAGATGTTCTCCGCGAGTTTTCTTAAAAATTGTACAAGTTTATAACTCAACGTGCACCCACTGCACTCATGTTAGGCAGTACAAGTGCTCCAATCGCGATGCCTAGGTATATAGGAAATTCCAAAAATTGTAAATGAAATTCTTCAAGACAACCACAACGATAATATACTGCAAAAGATTCAACACAGTTTCGTCTATGTGGAAAAAAAACACACATCACGTTTCAATGTTATTTAAGTTTGTGTGCGTATTCGTTGTCGTTTTCTTCCAAAAATAAGATGAACCGTATTTATCCACCTTACGATTCTATCCATTATCAAAATGAGAAATTCTCACTCACTTTATTAATTTTAAATGATTAACTTATACGCATTTCTATTATTTTCTGAAAAAGAATATTGTTTTATACGTATTCGTGTGCAAAGGCGTTGAGCCGTAAACATCGAAAATGAAATGAATTTAGTAGTTGAAGACCGTGTTTTATAAAATAGAATAGAATAGAAAGAATAAAATAGAAACAGAATAGTTTTATGTGTAGTAAAACATATTTACAACTATTTTTATGACAATTTAGCAGTGAAATAACTTTAAACTGACATAATATTGTAATGTTTGTACGGATAAGAATATAATCAATATTGGATGGATAATGCGTCTTAGTAACGAGCACCCGACTATAAATTGTAGTGCTTTATTCAAAATTTGTAAAGGATGAAAGCAATTTTAGGTTATTTTGTGTTTTTTTAGGGCGTTCAAGTCCAAGTCCTAGACTTGTATTATAGTGCCAAATATTATATAATAATTTTTTAAATACTAAATCATAATTTCTTGTATATTAATATTAAGTACACTTGCTGTACCATTGAGTATTGGGATTATGTTACGTAGGTTTATCAAATAAACAAATACATAATATATCAAATATTACTATTTACTATCAATTTTGCTATGCTATTAATATTAGAAGTGTCATATATATAATATTATACGCGTACCGTAAAATATTTAAATACCTACTTTTTTGTATTTTTAATAAATTTGAAATTTCTCGGGAAAAGTATTTAAAATATGTTTCATATAGCTATTATATATATTGTATTCAAAAATATGAATACAAAATTCTTTTAAATTAGATTTTTAGCTAATGTTTTTCGACTATTTTCTTCTCAGAAATGGCTTACTATCGACGAGACGGCGATACTTATTAAACGACTATTAAATTTTATTATCGACGATAATTGAAAAAATATTTGTCGCACAATTGGAACATATTAGAGCGAAAATAATTTTTTGTATATAAATGTAAGTACCTATTTGAAAGTATTTAAAATGCTTTTTGATGCATTTGTTTATTTAAATGGGTGATAGGAAAACTAATTGAAGTATGTAAAATGTAAATACATGTCTGAAACAATTCTAAAAAGTAATTTTTAACAAATTATACACCGCAATATCTAATATGGTAATAATTAATAACATATTACGTAGGTATAAGAATACAAATCAAAGAACGTGTGTCATATCATTTCATATGAGAACCTACATAATGCTTCAAGTAAAATAAACAATTTGATATTCAAACCATTTACATATGATTTTAATATTTTTACGATTCTGGTGTGAAAAAAAATGTATGGGGAAAAATGGAAATTAACTTTCTTTTGTCTGTGAAAAAAATGAACAGTGCAGGAAAAACGCAGTATCTCATTTCTGGAGGAAAATAGTCCGCCCCCCCCCCCCCCCCGTACGTCCGTCCGTTCGAAATGACTTGGTGTAATTCGTGATTTTCTTAAAGATTGAATTCTCCGATAGTACATAACGGGAACAACGTGATTTATGCGGAAATGATTCGTTGCATAAATCGTTTGTTATCGCGAATAATGATAATTCAACAATACAACAATTGGCAGTGAATAAAATAAACGCAAATAACGATTGACGACGGTCATTAATCGTTGACGCAATAGAATAAATGCCGAAAACAATATTATCAGTGAACACGGTATAGACACTTTATACCGTTTCTATATTGTGTTTCCACGGTTACGCTTTGAGATCACTATAATGACATTATTAAATTTTATTTTTACGCTCTAGCTGGATGTACGAGACGAACATTATATTGTACTCGAAAACCTAAAATCTGCAAACAACCGGAAACAGATATTATAATAGTTATGGCTGTATAAACCGTTGTATAATAATACGTCCATAATAGGGTAACTGGGATAGTCTAAGGGTTTATTTCATCGTTGAGCGTTACAATAATATACAGTAGTGGCGGCCTATATGGGCTAATATTATTATTGTGATCGAAATCTACTTCAAATCTTTATTGTATTGTCTCGCAACGTTTTAAAATATTATATTTTTAATTACAAATCGTGAGCCTTAATAGATGAGATCATTCACAGATTATATTTAGTACGATTGGTTTGTCGAGTTTATTCAATTATTTTAAATTACTTAACTAGATAATATGATGAATGAGGTGTGCTTGCGTCGGATTCGATGATTTCACAAGATGAGACGACGAGGGCAGTCTCAAGTTATTTTCGATACACGCATGTCACTATATATATTAGTCAAACGTGATCGGTAAAAGTAAGTCACTTACTTTTCGATACGTCGATCCAGAGCAGAAATAGTCATTTTTATCATATTATTTCATAGCTATATTTATTGCGTTTTTCGATTTCATATTTGTGTGTAAACAGAGAAGAAAATTGTTTCATTTGATTTCAGAAAAATATCGAGAAAATATATTAAAAGAAGTCGCGTTCCACCTGGTAGTCCCAAGCCGTCATAAATACTCAATTCACAATTTGTGTTGTAAAATAATCATATATCAGTACCTATTTATGTAAAAAAAGAAAAATTATACGCAGGATGATAACTTTAATATTTTGACTTCATGGATAATACATGCTCGTGACGCCTCTGGACGTCCTCTATTCGACTAGTATTATATAATTCTTTGAGTACTTTTAGCATACTATTATTGTAATTCGGAATGATTCCATCGCCAGCGTAGTTGTGCACATATATATATACCTAGTTATGCCAATATTATACCATAGCTGAACATGGTTTTCTGATGTTTACCAAGTGCCTATACATTGTTGAATTATTTTCCAACGCGATCAATACAAATTGCATAATCCATTTTATGCTGCAGGTGTTTCTACACGTGTCAACGACCTACTGCAATTGTAACAGAATTTACGTGGACGAGAAAGTGTACGAATCGCCGATCAGTTGGCAGGACGCAATTTTAATCGCAGAAAATTTAAATCCAAAGTTATCTGAAACGTTAACGACAAAGTAAGTGTAATAGCCTACGATTTAATTGACAATATTTATTCCTATTGTTTGTTTTAAGAAAAAAACATAATATTCAACTATGGTAAACAGTACGTACCTGGTGCATGGTTTGTACCGCGGTCGGGGGCGACCAGTGAAATATGATGAGTAGGGCTCGGATTTTGTAGCAAATGCTTCTTTTGGGGGGAGTATGATAGAAACATAATTCTTATATATAAATACGTTTTGAATCGTTCCGATTTTAATGAAGTAAATTTTTTTTGTTTTTTTTTTTTGCTTTTTTCCACAAAACCTGCTTTTTATTGCTTTTTACCATATTTGGGTCTTTTTTCTATATTTGTATACATTTTTCTTGAAAATTTAACTTATTTATATGTATATTATACTTGAACTAAATTAATATTACCAGAAATTATAAAACCAGTGAAAAAACAAGTAATTAATGTATGACTGATAAAATAACGATGGTTATTGTGCCAAAATAGTATCTATAGTTGTATTTACGACTCAAGAAAAGTGAAAATTATTTGAATTATACCTGCGTATTTTTATAGCGCGTCCAATACTTTAGTTGACTGGTAAATATCAATCGACAATCAGTGAGGTATAGTGCTCTCTATAATCGTCAAAATGCTAAAAGTTAAAAATTAAAATTATATTAGCACCTATTAGTATGAGTTTTAATGAAAGTAACGTGACTAAATATATGGTCGTAAATTCCTTTTTTAATATTTAACGTTATGTGTAATTGAAATTTGTTTTTTTTTAGAATTAAATTTGATAAATGCTTTTTTTGCTTTTTTTGGAAACTTAAAATGCTTTTTTGAGGATTTATTTTGCTACAAAATCCGAGCCCTAATGATGAGACATACAACCGGGGAAGTTGTAGGGATCTGTAGATAATAAAATAACCGTAATCAGGAATAGATAGATGGAACTGATGAAAGGAACTCCAGTATTTTAATTAAATTACTAGGATTCGACTTCAGTGTGATTATTATGTTTTATTGCTTACTGAATACTTACAATTATAGAAATACATCCAAAGTAAACAAATTAAGTTTGACAGTAGTTTAAGTACTGTAGTAGTACCCACGGAGTTCGGTCATCATAACTGGCATAGGTGCAAATGTCGTTTGGGATTTGGGGGGAGGGATGGCTGAAGCTCTAATATAATAATATTGAATCATGAGCTCAAACAAAATGTAGGAAAGGTTAGGTTATGAAAGGTTTGAGGGGAAGGGGCTATTGGAATTTGTTCTCCCACAAATTTCAATAGCTCCCCTTAATCTTTCCTAAATGTTGTTATAAGTCTCACCAGACTTAGCTTCTAAAGCTCCCCCTCCCCCCTATTAATATGCGATAATAGTACCTCTTAGCATTACGGTGTACAGCTGACTGCTCTTCGTACGTGGTGCAGTGTATTCGAAATATAGGCGTTAGCAGGGGCATGCGCAGTTGGTGATGAGGGTGTCATAAGCTCCCATTCTTTGGCTTATTTTTGTCGTATACGATAAGACAGTGGAAGTTACTGGTATTATAGTGCTGTATAGTGTGGTCTAAGAACAGTCGAAAATGCATAATCTTAAAATGAGTTGAGCAAGACATCACTGGGCCTTACAGTCGATTGTATGTGAATAGAATATTGTATCGGTCAGCAGTTAGTTGTAACTATGTGTTTGCAATGTAAAGTTAATGATATATTATAACAAAATACAATTATTTATTGCACGTTTGAGCATGATTTTAGTATAACAGGTTTATCGCTTATCGTACATTTATCGACACCGAATTATTCAACAACGCAGGTTTTTATAGGTAATAGGTAGCAGGTAGCAGAAAAAATTGATTTTTCAATTTTTTCCTTCTACGCTCTTACTAAATATAACATATACTTTTAATTTTTAAATATTGCTTTTTTCCACAGTACATTAAAGTTCATATTTTATTTTGTATGGAAAAAATTATCAATAACGAATTCATATACCACGTTTTTACATTAAATTTACACATAGTATCTGGAGGTGTTAAAATACGGTTAGGTTTTTTTTATAGAACACCGTATTATATAAACTGTTATAACTAGCCAACTAGGTATTAGGCATTGTATAGTTATGCCTAGGGCTCGGATTTATATGCCCTGAAAATATCAAAAACATGCCCTTTCAAAAAATGCATCTATGACCTAAAAACTCTAAAAAATGCCCTAAAAATATAAAAAAATTACGTTTCAAAAAATGCATTATTTATTAAATAAATTCAAATTTAATTATTATTAAAAAATGAGGAACAAATAAAATTATAATAAAAATTATAAATTATAAACTATATTAAAATGTACAAAAAAAAATTAAAAATTAAAATTAAATTATATTTGCATAGTTTAGTTGTGTGCAATAATATCGGCTAATTGGATGGTGTGGCATAGAGATTGTAAAAACCGGAAAACCGGATGTTAAATTGGTTGAAATAGTTCAAAATGAAAATAATTTTTATTACTATACTACTATGTAGTATTTATATTTCAGTGAGGTTAATTTTTTTAGTCATAATACGACAAATAGCTCAACAATGTCCTAAAAAATTAAAAAATGCATTAAAACGGTCAAAAAATGCCCTAAAAATGATGAAATACGCTAAAAATGCAAAAAAAGCGAAAAAAAATGGCCCAAAAAATTATTGTGGTTAGATTGCGAAGTACTTGAAACATATTTATAGTTTGGAAAGCATCGCGTAAGATATCCCCCAAAAAAAAATGCAAATGCATTGAAATCCGAGCCCTAGTTATGACCAATTTTGAAATGGCTGAATACTTTCAGAAAACATTTTAAAAATGGCAATAACACAATGATTATTTTAGGGTAAACTAATATTTAATACTGATACCAATGCTGACATAGGTAGGTACCTTTTTTTTTACCGTTTAACCGACAGCAGAGGAGGCTTTGTGTGAACAATACTACTCCTCCCTGATATAGGTACCTAGGGACTAGAAACAATTTAAATTTTTGATAATAGCAATATTCATAGAATATGTCATACCATATACGTGTATAATACCTCGTATAATCTAATTTTATCCCACTGTATAGTGCAATCTCACGTCCTTCAGTAAAGTTAATTTATTAATTATTAATTAATGCAAAATTAACGAATATAAGACATCGTGATGCATATTGTCCATTGCATTGTTGCTCTCGACTGAGTGCATATTTTGGTCTTTCGAAAAACACAATATTATGCATTTCAAGGGTACGAATACATAATTACATATTCTATTTCAATCACTATTTTAAATAAGACAATTTCAGTCTTGGGTAAGTAACATATGTTTATTGTATTTGTGTGTACTTAGACATTTTTCCCGGGGACATTTGATGACTTTGTGTTCCGACTGTTCCGAGGATAAAAGATCCATGATGATGAGATTATACATAAGGAGGTTATGGTTGATTAGAAATATTGGTAATTGATATTGATCCAACAGCAAAAATAACTTGTAAAAACGGCCCAAGTTAATAAAACAATAAATACTAATTCCAATATAACTTGTCTATTGTACATTTTTGCAAAACCTATTTTAAGGGCTATTATCCTTAGTTAGGTATACATCATCATTTTCAAAAAAAATATACACTCAATAATTTACAGTAATAGAGGGGAGTTCTGGTTTGAAAAAACGGAAGTTTGTATTGTCACAGCCCACAGAACACGTCTTCTTAAGTAGTTAAAAAAATTCAATAATTTGAAAAAATTGTCTTTGCGTCTATTTAAAAATTTCGAAAATATGAATTCGAATAAATTCATTATTAAACATAATTTTGTCACCCACATTTTCTTATAGTGAAAATCATGCTTGGTGAATATAATATATACAGACTACAGAGTGTAACAAAAACATCTGACAAAAATAAATTGACACCTTCTCGTTAAACGTAAGACAACGGTTAAGAAAATGTTATGAGAAATAAACTTATAAATTCAGAAAAATAAAAAGTTATTAGGTCTAATTTGCTCCAAAAAAATGTTGTTTTTTTTAAATTGTAAAAAATAAGCTACTTGACTTAAATAAACGTTTCTGCCATCATAATTTGTCCATAACAATTATTATAAATATTCAGCACTAAAAAAAATAAATAAGCTGTCCTGATGGGACGTCTGGTATATGTTGAACATCGAAATTAATTTGTATATTGGAATATATGAATGCAAATAAAAATTATGGTTTATTAAAGGAAATAATAATATGGCGTAATTTAAAACAAAACATTCATTTTTTTTGAAGAAAAATTATTCCTTATTTTAAAGGCGTATTATGAGTTTCACGCTTGCGCTTTCCGTGGGTTATGAGCGGTAGATGTTTCACATAAAAAAAGAAAAATGTTATATTGTTGTGCATGTGTCGCAAGCGACTGTAAATTATTTTTTTTTTTAAAAAAGGTTTCAATATTGATTAGATTATTATCATTTTTCAGGTCTTTCTGTTATACTCTCCCTGGGCATAATACTTACAATGTTCGAATCGTTTATTAAACACTTAAACATTTATTGCCTGTCCGCCGGGAGACATCAGACTACTATTATGGTACCTACCTACTATTATAGCATAGACCTTATGCTATTAGTAAATTATTATTATAATAACGATAACACATTTTAAGGTACGTCCGTCGGGAGGCGGCAACTCGTATAATATTTATCGACCTTTCTGACGTTGCAGGGAGGCAACTGGTGTCCGCAATTACAATTTGACGTATGCAAATTACTGCACCGGAGCTATAAAATAAACATTTCTCCGAAATTGTCTTACGACATTTTACTCGTCACCAAAAACTATACCGAATGAAAGAATGTCATATTTGATGCCATAATCCGAATGAAAGTTTCAGAATCAAAAATATTCTTATTCATAAACTCGTGTTACCCCAAGAAGTCGACCGACCCATCAAGATATATTATATTAATTTCGAAACCTTCCAATTCGATTGAGATATAATTTC